AATGATGTAGCAATTGTTTTGGTACGTATTTATCAGGTACATATTTATTTTAAATCTTTTACACTTAAACATGTAGATTCGTGACGGGGCTCCCATGAAGCACAACTCAGCTTATACTGTATGTAGGGGCCCCAATAACATCCACAAGTCAAAAAACAGGACGACAACAAAAAACATCCTCAATTTGAGAAATAGACCGACATATTTAGAAAGTTTAATAATTAGGTAATCTATGTGTTTTTTTTTATTCAAGAATTCATCCAAAAATGTGATGTTCTCTACTCTTTGAAGAACTTTTGTATTTTAATCCTTTCAATGTCTTTCAAGTTGGTTTTGTTTATGTCGAATGATAGTTTGTTGCATTTTAGCCAATTGTCTACTTTGATAAGTTCTTCATTTACAAGTGCTTCTAGGCTGTCCAAGTTTGTGTGTGACAGCAAATAACACCTTTATGAAGGACAATGGACGAGTTCATCAAATCATTTACAGAAACAATGTAAATGGCTATAGCTGGAGTACCTAACTTTGAAAGCACAAATGGAACTACCGGTAAAAAAATATACGTAAGAATGTTTGTAACTCAGTTTATTCTATCACATCACAATAATACTCAAGTGTCATTTTTGCTGATTTGAAATGTACAGCGTTGAAGTTGAATAGCTTTGATGTCTGCTTCTCTATAGTGCACATCGGTGGCTTTTTGTGTGTCTGTGTGTGTGAGAGAGAGAGAGAGAGTGTGTGTGTGTGTGTGAGAGAGAGAGAGAGAGTGTGTGTCTGTGTGTGTGTGTGAGAGAGAGAGAGAGAGAGAGAGAGAGAGTGTGTGTCTGTGTGTGAGAGAGAGAGAGAGAGAGAGAGAGAGAGAAAGAGAGAAAGAGAGAAAGAGAGAGAGAGAGAGAGAGAGAGAGAGAGAGAGAGAGAGAGAGAGAGAGAGAGAGAGAGAGAGAGAGAGAGAGAGAGAGAGAGAGAGAGAGAGAGAGAGTCTGTCTGTGTGTGTGTGTGTGTGTGTAATCCTGCTTTGCTGTAATCAGTGTAGACTCAGATCTAAACACAGTTCTCCTCCGTCCTCCAGCTTCACCGCAGCCAAGTCTCTCCTAAACTTGTAATTAACTCTTACATAAGCGGCGCCCAAAACTGGACCACATCAAGCCGTTCAAATCAACCACCAGGCGTTTGTGTACTTCCACAATTTAGTCTCTTTTTAGCCCTGTTTTGCACATTTGCTGACTTTTCCCAGAGTGATCCCATTCATACCAAATGTGACTTGAACATTTCTACATTTTGAGAATAGTAAAGTCTTTTGATTGGAGAGTTTGTCACACCAAACCATACTTATTTTTAATTCCAATTCAAATGCATTAGTCCATTTATGTTTTGATTGGCCAAGAGCAGCTGTAGATAAGATAATGTGGGGAGACTCACTTTTGATATGGGGCGCACTACACTTGACCTTCAGCTGTACTTGTATAGTGTTGTCTTGTTAAAAAAAACATACAATTAAATGCGAAAAAGATTCCAAAATGACTGTTACTACAACAGTCTACATCAAGGGCCTGTAGCTCGCCAAAGGATTTAGAAAAATGATAATAAATCATACAATATACTTCAGATTGTATTATTCATGATCATTATTTATTGCCAATGCACGTACTTTGTCACTAGTTACAAATTTGCAAGGATATATAATAAATGTACCCAATATCAGGCTCATTCACACCAATATATCCCCACATTTTTCCCAGAGCTGCTTAAAGGAGTAGTGTTTTAAGACTTCATGTCACGAAGGTGAAAAACAAATGAGGCCCAAAAGTCAAAAACTGCAAAATGATGGATTTAATGAAAGTAATTCAAATCAAGACGTACCAAAAACACAGGGAACGGACAGAACTACAACAGAAGAGGAATGACAATGACGGAACACACAGGGCTAAATACAAGACTAACGAGACACAGGTGAGACACATGAGGGCGGGGCTGGAGGGCGGGGCTGGAGGGCGGGGCTGGAGGGCGGGGCAGGTGATCAGACAGGAAGTACAACCAAAGAAGACACAGAGATATAACAAACTACAAAATAAAACAGGAAATACATCTAAACCATGACACTTCAAGCTCGTTCCTATTTTAAAAGATATTGTTAAACCCATGTTGTCTCATTTTGTCTCTCGTCTGCATCGGTCCTGTTCCATACCTGGTTTAGAGTCAGTTTAATCCTGGAGTTTACTGGATTTTAGTTGTTTTAGATTTAGATTTATTTAATTTCAAACCTGCAGAACACAATGTCACATGTCTACGCACTAATACAGGTTGGATAAGGGGTTGGATGAAGCGGATGCGGTTATACTTTGTGATGCGTTATATGTAGTGAATGCAGCCGTTTTTTCTCCTCACTTAAAAAAACTTTTCTGTAAAATTTGCAAACAGGTGCCATGATTCTGCTCCATCCACTGAACAGCTCCCAGACCGTTTGTGGTATTTTCTCTATGCTTCAGCAGCTGTCATCTTGAAGCATGTTTCACTACGAGAGAGAGATTAAAACATGGTTGAAAAGAAAATGGCCATTCAAATCTATTCAAATCCAAATGTCAATGCACTTCCCTGACATGAGGTAAACAAAGAAGTTTTTTAGTCTGTGTGTCTGCGGTCAAAAGGCCACATCACAATAAGTGGATTCTGAAAGCATTAACATGTCTTGAGATTAATCAGAGCCGGAAAAAACATGACAAAAAGAGACAATATGTGGTTCTTAAGGTTAAAGCGGAGAGGATTTGGTCTCAGTGCAGTCGCCGCACCTTCGTCTGCAGCAAGTAACGACACGACGGCTCAAAACACCGGCTCTTTGACGCAGAACTGCTGAATTATTTTGTAAACATTGATCTTTTTCGGGAGATGACATAATAACTTTTTTGTAAGTGTTGAATTCTGGCTTTTTCCCTCCTCCTACTCCGACTCGGATGGCCTCATTTAAGTCTTTGATGTTGTAGATGCCAAGCGGAAAGTGATGATTTGACAAAAATGTTTGCCTCACACAGAATAATGTCGGTCCATAATCAGGGATCTGCAGCGAGGATGGACTCTAAAGCAGTTTATTTTCTTATATCTAGATTAAATGTAGTTCTTGCAGTATGTTTGGTGTTAGATCATGTTGTGCTGTGAAAACGATAACGGTTTATTTTAGGCCGAGTGATGTAATATTTAAGAGCAGAGCCATTTTATTCTGTCAAATAAAAAATGTTTATTTTAGCAAAGACTTGTCACATTTTAGTACTGTTGCTGTCTTTTCTATGGTTGCTTCATTGGGTCATTAATTGAAAGACTCCCACTGTTTTGATGTAAATGCTGTTATTTCTAGTGATCTTCAGCCATTTTAATAACTTGCATACTGAACCTTTTTACGGGAAACTTACATAGTGTTAATAATCACACAGATTTGAATTTGTAATCCATGTTTACCGTGTTTCTTATATTTGTTGAACTCTCCCTGTCCTGGAGGTCCTGCACTGTCCTCTGCCACACCTCGGCACTGTGGGGTCCCCCAGGGTTCAATTCTTGGCCCCTTTTTTCACTCCATCTTCTCCTCCTATCGCCTATCACACTGTATACTGAGAAGAAACAGATCTTTCCAACATCAAAGCAAGAGAAGGTTTCTCTGACACTCATGTTGGACTGTTTTAGTGACGTCGAGGCTTGTTTGGCCCAAAACGTTCCATGTTTAATCAACGGAAGAATTTAAATGGTTTTGTTTGGTCCCACATAGCCCCTGGAGGATTTGGTTGGACATGATTTTAAAGTTGAGCTCCTGAGTCTCAAGCAGGCCTGGTAAAAATAATATGTTCACTAGGCCTTACAAGCATAAATTAAAATGAGTAAGCCTAAACTATCATTAGTGTTGCACTTCACAATACAATTCCACAGTGCGGCACGGTGGCTGAGTGGATAGCACTCTCGCCTCTCAGCAAGAAGGTCCTAGGTTCGAATCCCGGTTGGACCAGGGCCTTTCTGAGTGGAGTTTGCATGTTCTCCCCGTGTCTGCGTAGGTTTCCTCCGGGTGCTCCGGTTTCCCCTACCACTAAAAATATGTACAATAGGTATGGCATGTGCCTCCTGTACTGGCACCCCCACCCAACAATTGTAAACCGCTTTGAGACTCCGATGTGCAGTGAAAAGGCGGTATATAAATAAAAGCTTACTTACTTACTTACTTACAGTAAGTCATATTAATATACATAGTGCATTTTATAGACTGAGATCACCCAAAGCGCTTCACAAGGTTCAGAAATCAGATATTTGTCCATATTCTCTCCACCGAACACACTGCAGCATCAAAGCCTCCAACCATTCATTTATTCACTCATTTATACATATTGTACATATTTTTGATGATAGGGGAAACCGGAGCACCTGGAGGAAACCTACGGGGAGAACATGCAAACTCCACACAGAGAGGCCTGGAAGTGGAACCGCACCCCGGACTTCCTTGCAATGAAACACAAGCTCTGTGAATAAAAGGTGCTTGTCAAGAGAGTTCCCCACTGGCTTCTTCACAAGTCACAAACTAATTAGACATCCAACTTCTTCCCCTTAATCCATTTCTGGGTCGGGGTGGCGGTCAGAGCTGCACCCAACTCACAGAGCGCCAGCCCCTCACTGATCCTCCTGCAGGTGTTGAGTCCACAGGAGGATGATTTAATGATTTGGCACAGATGAGCCAAATCCTAAAAATTTTTAACCTAAATGTTGGTCTTGAGAAAACACCTGCACTGAGGTCCGGACCTCATTAACCCTGATGCTGCCTAATCCAAGAGCCAATTAATAGGTCAGAATGTTTGTTAATTCCCTCTCTGTGTCGTGGCTTAAATCACAGCAGGTGAAAGAGTTCAGGCTGAGTCACATGTGAGCAGCACTTATCAAAGAGACTACATCCTCTTTACCACAGAGAGCAGAGAGACTGAAGCTTTAGAGACTGACGCTGCTTTGAGGAACCTCCAGAGTGACGCTGCTCCAACATGGTACAGAAATGTAGAGAAACTGTGGGATTCGAGGAGAAACATCAGAAAGGCTCAATGTGGAAGAAGATCAAGCAGGTGACGGAGAGCAGGGTGCAGTGGTTCAGCAAGAGCCAGGAGCCACCAGGCGGCGCTGTTCAGCTCCCACAGGTGAGCAGCTTCTGTAGGTTTATGAGGTAGTAATTATTTGTTTATATATCCATAATTAAAGTAAGTAAGTATTAAGTATTATCTATATATATTGAGATACAGATAAGATAAGATAATGTAAACTTTATTGATCTCACAATGGACATAAAGAGCATCACTCGTGTTGCGTTAAAAGGTTAAAAATGTAGTTTATCTTGTGCAAGATATACATAGATATACTAATAATGAATAACTTTTGTTTTCACTGTAAACGACAATAGCATCAACTGATATGTGATATGAATGGAATATGCAGTACTTTAGTATCTTGACTCGAACCCAAAACTGCTCAGCCACACAATGGCCGAAGGTCTTTGTTTGGGGCTGACCCAACAGCACCAGTGACACTGACACCCGCAGGTCCTGCTCATGACGCGGCGGTAGAACTCTGCACATCCTGGTTTCTGTGCACCTGTGTCTCTCCTGTCTCTCTCCTGTGTCCTTGGTGTCTCTCCTGTGTCTCTCCTTTATCCCTGGTGTGTCTTGTGTGTGTCTGGTCTGGTGTGTGTCTGGTGTGTGTCTCCGCCTCTGTGTTTATGGAGCAACATGACGCGGTGGCTCTCACCTCAGACTCAGACTCAGACCCGGACTCAGACTCAGACTGAATCTGCTGCAGTGAGTGAGGAGGTGTTGTGTCCTGTGAGCTGTGAAGATGGACAAGTGCGTGACCCGGGGCAGACATGTCCCAGAGGACGTCTTGACGCCAGTGAGTGACCTCTTTAACTTAAACTTAAACTTGATATTTGAAAGGCTGAAAGTAAACTGAATATTCATATGTGAACTTTGAACCACCATGATCAAATAAATAGCCGTGTTGAGTGAAGGATTAAAACATTGGAACAAACTCAAACTTATTGAAAATGTTCATCAAATGTTGAATATTATTGGACTTAAAGGGGGATCTAAGAGACAGAGGGAGCGGTGACACAGGATACACAGCATACACAGGATACACAGGAGACACAGCATACACAGGATACACAGCATACACAGCATACACAGGAGACACAGCATACACAGGATACACAGGATACACAGCATACACAGGAGACACAGGAGACACAGGATACACAGCATACACAGGATACACAGGCTACACAGGAGACACAGCATACACAGGATACACAGGAGACACAGCATACACAGGATACACAGCATACACAGGCTACACAGGAGACACAGCATACACAGGATACACAGCATACACAGGAGACACAGGAGACACAGGAGACACAGGATACACAGCATACACAGGATACACAGGAGACACAGCATACACAGGATACACAGGATACACAGCATACACAGGAGACACAGGAGACACAGGAGACACAGCATACACAGGATACACAGGATACACAGGAGACACAGCATACACAGGATACACAGGATACACAGGATACACAGGAGACACAGGATACACAGGATACACAGCATACACAGGAGACACAGGAGTCATATTCTCATGGTCCATGGCTTTGCAGCATCTGGTTTCAGCTGAGAGCGTTATTTAACCAGGACACTGCAGCTAAAAGCACTTTTTACACTTTCTGACTTTATACACAAGTGTGTGTGTGTGTGTGTGCGCGTGTGCGTGTGCGTGTGCGTGTGCGTGTGTGTGTGTGTGTGTGTGTGTGTGTGTGTGTGTGTGTGTGTGTGTGTGTGTGTGTGTGCGTGTGTGTGTGTGTGTGTGTGTCTGTGTGTGTCTGTGTGTGTGTGTGTGTGTATGTGGCTTTGACTCTGGGATAACCTTCAGTCAGAACAAGCCTCACATCATTTATGAGAGAAGACTTGTGACTTACACCTGAGGATTACATCACATTATTGGCTTTTGTTGCACATTTTCTCACTAAATCAGAGGATCCCATGGGCTCATAAATGCCACGCTGTCTCTTATAAACAAGGAAACTTAATTATTATTATTATATGTTTGTTTGATAGGGACACAACAAAAAGCATTGTTACCAGTAACCGATGGGCCATTTACATAGATCACTGAACAAACACAGATTACACAGTAGAAAACATTTTAAATGAAATATTATAGAATTAGAATTTTAATTATGAAAACATAGATATTTGATTAAAACATGATGTCTCACACACAGATACACAAAATGAAATGTGGTAAAATGTGTCTCATTTCCAAAACTACAATAAAAAACGATTACATTTGTCATCTGTCTCACCTTTATAATCGCAATGTTTTATTGTTTGATTATTCTAATCAATTACAATAAATAATGGAATAAATTACAGGTTTTTCAACCAGTGGGCCGTGGCACATTGTTGTGCCTTGAGATGTTTATTAGTGAGCCTTGGAAATGATCCAGTATCACCCTCTTGGTCAAAAAAATGTTAAAATAAAATAATGTGAGACGATTAGAAAAAGTTTTTGTGGTTGTTTGATTTTTTTTAAATATGTATGATACACGTTTACGAGAAAGACTTTGCTTTGCTGATAAAGCTGGACAGTTTCACATTCAGCTGGTCACGTGGTATGTGATATTTTGCAATGACAAACCGGCTCTAACTGTTGTGGAGAGAATTGACATTATTGTTTTGAAGATTTAAAGCCGGGGTATTGCTTTCTCATCGGAAACAAATACTTTCAGTTTGGTTCAATCACTAGTATTCAAATGCATTCACAGTGAAAAAGAGAGAACCGACCTCACTCAGCCAATCATCTCTCAATACTGACTTTCCAAATAATGTAAAATTACTGAATGAAGACAGCATGTTGTGGTCTGATTTGGAGAAAAGTTAGGTACCCCAGCTTTAATTATGAGCCACATCTTTACATATATATTCATACTATACTGGAGCAGTCCTTGTGTTTCCTTTCCCTTTCCTCCCGAAAACCATTGAGTGAGTCTGACCTGAAATGGCGTCAGGTTTGGCACATGACCCGACAGGTATCTCACATTCAGCAGGAAGTGAGCGAGCGCTATCAGGTTCAGACGGATACTTGACGCTAACACATCTGCTGCCAAATGGGACTGGATCATGATTCATATGAGGCTGGAGTGACAGGCGCTTTGTATCATCAGCTTTAATGAGTAGATTTTAATAGCATCGCACAGGCCTGTTCCTTGTCATGTAAAGCTTGGAATAAGATAGAAAAAGTACCGAAGCATGTTAGGTTCACTTGTGAGTGCGTTTTTTTCCCGCTGGTATCATGTTATTTCATGATAATTTCTTGTTATTTCCAGATAATTTCATGTTGGAACAAAATACGGATCATGTTATTTCATAATACCAATTTTTTATGAAATAACAAGATACTGTAGATGCAGAAGAAGAAGCTGTAGACGCCAGACCATGCGTCTACAGCATGGTCTGGCGTGCATAATGGTTTTATATTATGAAATAACATGATTTGTGTCTTGTACGAACATGAAATTATCTTGAAATAACAAGAAATGATCATGAAATAACGTGATACCAGGAAATCTCTTGTTAAACGCAGGGAAATCCTTCTCTAGTCTGGCTTTGATGGTACTCAGAAGGCCACAGATCTTCAACAGAAATAGTGTTTTACTCTATAAAAATATGTCAGTTTTACCTTGTTTCACTTTTCTTTTCATGTTCTACTGCTTTGTGATGTGAGTCAAATACTGACCTTTCCTCACTCTGGGAAATTCGTATGTATAGATACGGTGGCACTTTGGCAGTAAAATAGTGTCAGAACCAATGGTGTAGGTTTGGTTCCAATCTTGGTGGGGACATTCACTACGACCTGAGTCTACACCCATTGACACGGGGTCCAGAGTTTCTCCCCCAGAATTTGTTGTGTAATCACACACTATATTTGCAATAGTGTGTTGCCTTCTATACTAAACTCGGCTGTAGACTGAATGAGAAGCAGAGTTTCCTATGTATGTTAACAGAAGATTAATCATCACAATTCATAATTTGCTATTACTTGTTCTCTTACTTACTTTCCAACTGTTAAAAAAGCTCCTGATATCTTTTATCTTTTTTTGTGGAGGTGGCATTTTTTCTAAATTATATAAGAAGGTATAGACAATCAAAAACAGACATTCATATACATGAACTGCAGAATCATTTATATAACTTGGCCAATGTCAAAAGTTACATAGTATTTCTCAATACAATGAGTTAACAAGAGTTTGGCAATAAGTAACAGTGTGGATTTTTCTATATTTTCTTTTTTTTTATTCCATTCTCAACCCAAAAAGGCAAGTAATGACTCACAGGGCTCTCAAGTATGCAGAATAAAAACTTAAATGACCTGTTGTGGTGTGTTTTGCGCACAACCAGCATGCATCGTTAACGCAATGGAAAATGTAGGTATCCGAGCTTTAATTTCGGGAGCGCTGGTTGCGCTTTGGGAAGAGTCAGGGGAGAGACATGTCAGAGACACAGGGGAGAAACGGGGGAGATACGAGGGAGACCCGCACTTGCAACATGGTTCTGTCTGCATATGGTCCGAGCTCGGTACCATGTTAGAGCTGTGCTTTCACTGAGCGCCGCGGCTGTCATTACAAAGCGGCAGCAGCTGCACCAGGACGTGCACATTCGAGTGCATCGCTTGAATGTGCTTAGAGCAAATAACAGCAAGTGCCCGCTGTCACACATTTCACAGAAATTACATTATCAGCAGATAAAGGTTGTAAATCGTGGATCCGTGGAATATTTTCATCCCTAGTTTATCCTGATTCACATAACACACCCACTTATACATTTTGGATAGTAAGAGCACAATAAGTATTTTTTCAGCCTTTCAACCAACCTGTTTCTTTATTGGAGCCAGTTCTGTTCTGTCTCTGTGCCGTGTGAGCTCCTCGGAACATTAAACAGTGCGCTGACAGATTAGAAATAACGTAAGTACTTTGAATGGTAATAGATCTACAGTACTTTCCTCTGATTACTCACGTGCTACAACGCTCAGGGAACGAAAAAAAACACTTGCTTCACGCTGGCTAACTTTTAAAAATTAAACAGTCGCTCAGTGCTTCAGTTTGGCGCTGAAGAAGACAGCCAATCACTGCAGAGAACGGAACGGGTCACGTGCTGCTGCTGCTGCTGCTGTTGCTCTGGAGGCGAGGAGGAGGCGCGACGTGTGCACAAACGGAAGACATGTGTCCCGGACCGTCCGGGTCACGGGACATCATGTCATTTTGGTGGGGACTTTTTAGTCCTCACCAAATATTGGTGGGGACATGTCCCCATGGTCCCCACGCAAACCTACGCCCTTGGTCAGAACCATTGATAAAATGCAGAGCAATAGTTTACCTTATTTGCAGTTTTTGTGTCTTATCGCCGGTCAAAGTTCAATGATAAATCAGGTTCTGAAATGTAGATAATATACACAATAAATCATATATATTTACCTTATTTACTCGATGTGCGTGATGAAAGGAGAGTCTGGGAAAGTGCCGTGCAAAAGGTTATCACTAAATAAGCTTAGTTGGATTGTTATGGGTTGTGTCTGTGTGTGTGTGTGTGTGTGTCTGTGTCTGTGTGTGTGTGTGTGTGAAACCTGAGAGGATTGTGGGAAAACGCTGCTGAATTGTGTGTTGTCTATTGTGTCAACAGAACATCAGGCCACAGTGTGTAAAGTCAAATAGAACAGAACAAATAGACTTAACACAATTGTCAATAGAGATTACAGGTGAAGGTGAAATCCCAAAGAGGTCACATTTTAAAGGTACAGAGCACGTATCTCCAGAATGATTGACAGTTGGGAGGACCAATACGCTTGAGGATCCACCTGGAAGTAGAAAATCCTCCTCTATACCTTAAGATTATCAGAAGTATTGTAATGATGCCTGTTAATGGATAAATAGATTTCACTAAGAACTCGGAGAGCGCATACGCCCCCAAAGACACGAATAGACCAATTTAATCTCAAAACACTTTTTTCATCTCAAAAAATGACACTAAGTAAGTCATTTTTATCTATTAGCGCCTTTCACAGACCAGAGTCACAAAGCACTTTACAATTGTTATTTTTGGGCTCAATATATTTGTCTCTCACTCCACACAGAGATGGGAACGAGGTCGCCAGTACAGGAGGCACATGCCAGAACTATTGTACATGTTTTTAGTGGTAGGGGAAACCGGAGCACCAGGAGGAAACCTATGCAGACACAGGGAAAACATGCAAACTCCACTCAGAAAGGCCTGTTTCGACCGGGATATGTACCCAAGACCTTCTTGCGGAGAAGCGAGAATGCTAACCACTCAGCCACCGTGTACATACAGTACATTTTTTGCTATTACCTACACACACACACACACGCGCACACGCACACACACGCACACACACACACACAAAGGCGAGTCAAAAGAAGACAAGAAGTTGAATTTTTCACTGTCAAATAAATAATTTCTCTTGCTATGGATTTTAGAAACAAATATACATTGTTTGCCCGTTGGAAAGAATTGAGAAAACTTTGCTGAATTGTAAATCGAATTGAAAACAGACTCGAGAAAAGTAAAAAGTCTGTGCACAATGTCCCAGGTGGAGAAAGTTTTGGCTGCTGTTTGGTTTTGTGGTTTGCCAGTCACTGTTATAAAACTGTCTCGTTAATCTCACTTACATAAGTCGTGCAGTGCATTCCTCTGTGGGCTGCTACTGGCCAACGCTGTCACTCTGCAGCGGTAAAAAAACAACGCTCCGAATCCAGAGGTCTGCCCTGTTGTGTAACGCTAGCATGCCACACAGTTCAGCGTTTTCCCAAGCCATGGACCAAATGTTTCAAGGAGTCATTGAAAACTATGTATAGACGAGGACCACACACTAAAAGGCCATGTGCCATAACACCAAAATTACTACTTGTGCAAAATTAAGGTCGTTTAGGATTTTGTAATTCTGCAAAGTTGCTTATTGGCTCCAGCATGGGTTTTCAGACTGACATAGTAGTGATTGCAAAATGTTACTATTGTGCAACTCAAATGGTTAAACTTCTTCCCAGAATAACCCGATGCTGGGTGATTTTGTTTCCCGGGGTCTTTTGAAGGCACTTATTAAATGAATGGGGCTAGTGCAGCTAACGCCTGCGCAAAGGAGTTTTTTCACATTTTCCTCCCCCGTGGCCATTTTGAAAAAGCCCACAGAAGGCAAAAGTGGTGGCACACTATAGTTTCAAAGCATTTACCGAGCAACCATTGAATAAAGTGTGGCAGAGATCCTTTACTGTAACTGTAAATTATTATTATTAAATTATAAGAATATGTTTATTTAGTGGGACGAATCATCACATTACATTAATTACAAAATGTGTTCATAAAAAAGTTCTAGAACTCCTGCAGTTCTTGACTTATGTACCTCATATACCTAATTTTCTTCACTAACTGTGACTTTATTGCGGTCAAACTCTTATCATTTGTTTTGAAAATTAAATTTATGCCATCACCCAAATAAGTCAACATTATAACATGAAGAACCTGTCAAACGCACTGTTCGTGATGAAAAACACAATAGTGCAAAGCAGAGAACATTGTGTTATTTGAGGCGATAGTAAAACTTTGTTCCACTGCCTCCATGTGTTTTGTGTTTACATCTGCGGTTCATTCTGAACTTGGCACCACAGTTCTCCAGTGTGTGTGTGTATCATTGGCATAGGTTATATAACTATGTGTTGTGTGTGTATCATGGGTGTGTGCGTGTATATGCGTGCACGTATGAGTGTGTATGCGTGTGCGTGTGTGTGTTTGTAGTCTATGGTGTATGCGTGTATTTGTGTTTGTGTGTGTATCATTGGCGTATATAACTATGTGTTGTGTGTGCGTTTGTACTGCAGTCTATGGTGTGTACGTGTGTATCTATGTGCGTGTGTGCATGTGTGTATCATTGGCGTATATAACTATGTGTTGTGTGTGTATCATGGATGTGTGCGTGTATATGGGTGCACGTATGAGTGTTTATGCGTGTGTGTTTGTACTGCAGTCTATGGTGTGTACGTGTGTATCTATGTGCGTGTGTGTATGCGTGTATATGTATTTGTGTTTGTGGTGTATATGTGTGTGTGTGTGTATATATATGCGTATGCTAACCGCTAACTGCTAACCACTACCTGCTAGCTTGGCACCGTGGCTAGCTTGGCACGCGCCCATCGCACGCGGCTGTGGGGAGCGTAGAGAGCAGGGCAGGGCGTGTGCTCCTCCCACTGCAGCCCTGCCCTCACACACTACAGCAAAACACAGGACGTCCCACGCAGAGATGCAGACACAGGCAGCGTGCAGCAGCCATCACTGTGGAGGTAATAAAGCACATTTTTCACTTTTAGCTGACATTACGGTAGCCTTTTTCCATTTAAATGCGGTGCTATGTATTTCCAATGTGCATTATAGTCACAGCAGTCATTCATTCCAGTGTATAGGATTGAGTCGTATTGTATATGTTTTGTCAGATTGGTTTTGTGTAAGGATTTTCATTTCAATTGTAATTTATTTGACCAGTAATAGCACTAACAATAGCGGATCTGCTTTTCTATTCATGTGTTTGATCCCTGCTTTCTTCATGTTTGTTTAATTAGTTTATTTAGTGGCAGTTGTAATTGTATTAGTAGTTAATATAATAAGGAATTTATCAACTGACTTTCTAATGATATTTGACACAGACTGTGAGGAGCACAAAGACATGTCTCCTCCAGAATCGGGACTAAACATGAAGAGGCAGCATTTCAGATTTATGCAGTATTTTTAGTCTTCCCAAAAATGTGAGACAGGCTTCTACACTGTGTTCAAATCCAGATTGTGTGATCAGTACATGTATCACTTCAGCCTTGTGTATGCACTGTGCTATACAACTGCCTTGCCTTATACTTAATTCTGGAGAAAACAGTTTTTCATTTTCACAACTTTGTAGCATACATTAAACCCTTGTTTAACGTTGCATAGAGATATTGTTTGCAGATATAGTGTATTTATGTGATGTTTTATGAGAAACTTTGTATGAATTTGTGCTGCATGCTCACGTCAGACTCTTTGCATGAGAAACTTCCGAAGAGACAAGTTGCAGTTATGTAGTGTGACTCATAACTTTGCCACTGACACACAAGGTTGCTGTTAATCTAGAAACAATATTGAAGGTTTGTGTGTGTGAGTGATATTATGATTTACTGGGATAAATGCTATTTCATCACATTGTGGGAGAGGGTGTAATCTGTAATCAGCAAGTTACTGACAGACTAGGACAAATGTTTCAATGGGTTAGGGTTATGGTTATGTAAGGATTAGATAGTAAGGCTAGGGCTAGGATTTGTTATGGTTAGGCAAAAAAATTAAATATTGTTGTATTTCTCATTCAGAAAGACTTGGAACAATAAAAGGTTCGGGCACATGTCCCTATAACTATGGGAAGAATCATCAGGAGACAAATCCCACTCAGTGTCATCTCCCAAAAAGAATCACAAGACAAGAAAAAAAACATGTATATATTATTCTCTCTCGTTCAGGACAGAAGGATACAGGCCTCTAGGTTAGGGCTAGGGCTCTCTATGGCTAGGATTAGGACTAGGGTTAAGAATAGGGTCAAGGTTAGGGCTATGAGTCTATAGGATCAACTTGTAACTATACATAAATATATATCCTGTGTTATTTATTTTAATTTTGTTTAATGTGCTGCTCAAATGAATTGCCGCTGGTGGGATAAATAAAGTAGTCTGAATCTGAAAACCTGGACTGTTATTACCTGGTGATATGAGATGTTGTGTTGGAGAGGCTAAAGTTCAGGCAGAGCTTGTTGTAAAGATTGATCGCTTTTGCACATAGTTGCCATGTCGTGTTAGCACCTGGGCTTGGAATTCAGAAACGTGCAGTACATTAAATAAGTGCATAAACTTTAAAGTAGCACGGTTTACCTTTTTGTCTAACTCTCGTACATTTGTCTGCATTTCTATTATAACATACAATAAAAACGTTTAATACCATAATGCGTTGGGAAAAATAAGCAAAGTAAAGGCATTTTAATGGAGAAAATTGGTTCTAAAAGAAAAAAATGTAGCCTCCATCTTATGTCTGCAACAATGAATCATCAATTGTTTAGCTGTTAATGTATTTTGACAATAGAAAAAGTAAACTGGACTTTGTAGATTATAAATTAACAGCGTCTTAGGAGCAAATAATGGGTTAAGTGTGTAACAAAATGTTAAAATGTTTTGCTTTTTGCTTCTTTAATAACACATTTTGTCCCAACAGAAAGAGAATCACATGCTGTCTTTATCGTATCAGAAAACATATATTGTCTATACTTGTATGAAAGAGCTTTGTGAGCCACTATTTGACTCTTTGGGAGCTGAGAACCGAGTAAATGGATCTCATTACATAGATCCATTTTGTTGTTGTTTGAAAGTTAGATACCCTAGCTTTAACAGAACAAGAAGTGCTCAGCAGGGCTTCTGCAGCAGAATTCTTTCAGTTAAAATTGCGGTTTTGTTTGTGATTGTTGGATCAATGCACAGCGCAGCAAAAGTCGTTATTTCTCATTCCTTGGCAGTGGCTTTACTCATAAACGAAACCGCAGCAGGAAGCATTATGGTTTTACACACTGATTATTACCAATCTCCATGGGGACCCAAAGTCTTATCAAGTTAAAAATGTGTGTAAAAATCGTTTAAGTAGTAACTTTCACTGACAGACCACTTCAAGTTCTCGTCATCAAGTCATTTCTCTAAATTATTCACAAAGTATGATGTCATGTTTGGATCTAGAAAAGGCCAGGCTCAACCACCGGGGGACAGTGGCGGTGTATTGATTATGGTTCACTTACCGTAAAAAACTGGAGACAAAAGACATGGACGTCATCATAAACTGTAAGTGCTAAGTCATGGCACATAAGTGATGATCCGGGAAACTCAATATTCTACAACATTTATGGACATTTATCAACACTTATGGATATTGGTCGAATCCCCCTATGGACCAATGTCTGTGTTTGATTCTCTGATCTGTGTCGGCGATTTCCACGGTTTTGTTAAGTCCTCTGAGAAAACTACTGTTGTGATTTAGGGCGATACAAGAATACATTGAATTGAATTGAATTGGTCTGAAACGCAAATGGACTTTTATATCTGCTTCTTAAGTCCAACACTAACACTATACAACATGGGTGTCGAACTCCAGGCCCGGGGGTCAGATCCGGCCCGCAAATGAATTTTCTTGGCCCCCTGGATGATATTTGATTATTATTAGAACATACAGAGCCATGAGAAAATATTAGATTATGCATTTCATGTGTTTTAAGTGTTTTCTCCGTGAAGGAAGTTTGTTTTTGTGTCTGAGCCTGTACGAAAAATATTTTAACTTGAATTGACTGACAGAGCCGTGCAAAAACATTGGATTACTCATTTAATCATTGAATAAAGTAGGGGCCGCTGTGTTTGATCTTGTTTCAATAGACTTTATGCAATCATTTTAATATGCTTTTATAGATATTGAACCAGTCCGGGCCTCGGCTTGTAGCAAACTCGTTTTTTTGGCCTCTGATGCTTTACTGCTGTACAATATTATGTATTGGTGCAACTTATCAAGTCAGTAATGTCACTTTTCATAGTTGCTTCCTGATTGGACTTGAATGTTGTGATTGTCATATTCATCCATGTGTAGTGCTGCAAATTCAAATCTATCTTAATTTTGAGATCCAAGTAACCTTTAAGTATTTTAAAGTTATTTGTGTCTCTTTGTTGTGCCTCTATAAACAGCCGCAGCAGATGCCGATTTTTATTTGTGACTATGTGAGACAAGCTCGTGGGGATTTACAGGTCTAAAAGTGGCAGGTCCATGCCCCTCCATAAAGTCAATAATGATTTGACTCTTATCTTTTTGAGATTGTGTTTCGGTGAGAGCCATGGCCTGAATTCACAGCTGCATAATTAAGCAGCTTATTAAAGAATAACAGTTTTTTTAAACAGCAGCTCGACCTGAGGCTCTGTTCTTTTTGGATGTTTTAGAAGAATGCATTGATTGATGTCTGATTCCAGCATGTCTTGACTTTTACTAAATGTCTCTGATGCAGTTTTGCTCAATCTGCTTCAACAAGTCAAACTGGAGACTTATCTCAGATCATTGATTCTGCGTTTGGAACATGAAAGAGGCTGGAACTGTGCAGCATGAAGGGATTTTTACCCGAGACCAACCAATGAATCGGTTTCCCCGTCGAGTTTTATAGATTTTCCTAATGGGTCCAGGATTTCCCAAATTGCTGCCGGTTTCTCATTTTAAAGCTAAGAATCTGACACTCCCTACTTATATTATTGATAACTGAAAACAAATATATATAACCCTGTAGTTTAGGAAGGTTGTTGTCAGATTCTGATAATATTACAATGACAAGTTACGGACCAGTGGGGGAGGGTCCCGGGCTCAAAAAGGTCCATGAGCACGTGTGTCGACATGCTTGTAATCCCACTCCTTGCTGGTGGGGGTGTACCCGGAAACAGAATTACTCAAGGGATACTTATTCAGATTCAGATTCAGTTTATTTGCCATTTGCAGTAAAAACAACCACATTGGAATACATTAGCGAAAAGTCTCCAGTGTGCACTGACAAATACAGACATAAAACAACATTAAAAGACAAAAATAAAACAAATAAAACAGTAAACAAAAGTCACTGTGAAATCGATCGACTAAAACAGTTCAAAGCAAGTGCAAATCATTAAAGTGCTCTGTTCACACTGATAACAGCTTGTGGATAAAAACTGTTAGCGTAACGAGATGTCCTGCATCTCAGAGAGCGATATCTTCTGCCAGAGGGAAGAAGCTGGAACATGGCTTTCCCAGGGTGGCCAGAAGAGTCATTGACAATCCTAAGAGCTTTGTTTAAAAGTCTGGATTTATAAAGAACCTCCAGAACAGGAAGCTCACAGCCCACGGCCCTCTCTCTGGTCTCTCTCAGGTCTCTCTCTGGTCTCTCTCTGGTCTCTCTCTGGTCTCTCTCTGGTCTCTCTCTGGTCTCTCTCTGGTCTCTCTCTGGTCTCACAGCCCACGGTCCTCTTTGCAGAGCGGAGCACCTTGTTTAAAGCTCTCTTTTCTTTATCTGTGATGTTCCCAAACCACACAGACACAGAACCAACAAGTAAACTCTCAATGGTGCAGCGATAAAAGTTAAGCAGAATCTTAGAGTTAGTGGTAAATTCTCTAAGTTTACGCAGAAAGTAGAGACGCTGACGAGCTTTCTTAACGACTCGGTCAGTGTTTTTAACCCATTTCAGGTCGTTAGACAGAGAACCCAGAAACTTGCACTCCTCTACGATCTGCA